GGTCGTAAAATTGATTTGTCTCCAGATACTTGGCCAGAACGATGGCTGCATCCCAAACCACACAGCCAACGTCCCCCATGTAGCACTGCTTTAATTTCATGACGCTGCTGTTGTTTTTCTCTATTTCTCTTACAAAGTATTTACTCTCATTGGCATCAGCCGCCATGTTGGCCGCAACAGGAAACAGGAACTTTTCGCAGTAAAAGCATGGACTATACATGTCAGAGCTTCCGTCATTACAGGTTCTTTAATTACTATACTATTTGTGGAATTATATACCACAAATATGCTAATATTTATAAATTATTGAATTTATAATGTTACATAGCAGCACAGACGAGGTTTCAACTGAGGGAAGTTTATTAAAATGTAGACGAGACTTGACGACCATCACTATGGACAGAAGAGAACTGACCGAAACCACTTCGTATGGACCTCCGTCATCTTCCTCAGACACCGGCCATCACAGTGTAGATGAAGGCAGCTCCAGTTACGGCCCCGCGCAGTCGTTACCAATGTCCTCAGGTGCCCTTATAGAATCCGCTATGTTCCAAAGTGATTTAAAACACAGCAAAAAGGAAAACAATGTTAACACTAGGAGTTTGCCAAAATGAGCTGGTGGTGAATAACAGAGACCAAAGGTGAAAAGGAAAACAATGTTAACACTAGGAGTTTGCCAAAATGAGCTGGTGGTGAATAACAGAGACCAAAGGTGAAAAGGAAAACAATGTTAACACTAGGAGTTTGCCAAAATGAGCTGGTGGTGAATAACAGAGACCAAAGGTGAAAAGGAAAACAATGTTAACACTAGGAGTTTGCCAAAATGAGCTGGTGGTGAATAACAGAGACCAAAGGTGAAAAGGAAAACAATGTTAACACTAGGAGTTTGCCAAAATGAGCTGGTGGTGAATAACAGAGACCAAAGGTGAAAAGGAAAACAATGTTAACACTAGGAGTTTGCCAAAATGAGCTGGTGGTGAATAACAGAGACCAAAGGTGAAAAGGAAAACAATGTTAACACTAGGAGTTTGCCAAAATGAGCTGGTGGTGAATAACAGAGACCAAAGGTGAAAAGGAAAACAATGTTAACACTAGGAGTTTGCCAAAATGAGCTGGTGGTGAATAACAGAGACCAAAGGTGAAAAGGAAAACAATGTTAACACTAGGAGTTTGCCAAAATGAGCTGGTGGTGAATAACAGAGACCAAAGGTGAAAAGGAAAACAATGTTAACACTAGGAGTTTGCCAAAATGAGCTGGTGGTGAATAACAGAGACCAAAGGTGAAAAGGAAAACAATGTTAACACTAGGAGTTTGCCAAAATGAGCTGGTGGTGAATAACAGAGACCAAAGGTGAAAAGGAAAACAATGTTAACACTAGGAGTTTGCCAAAATGAGCTGGTGGTGAATAACAGAGACCAAAGGTGAAAAGGAAAACAATGTTAACACTAGGAGTTTGCCAAAATGAGCTGGTGGTGAATAACAGAGACCAAAGGTGAAAAGGAAAACAATGTTAACACTAGGAGTTTGCCAAAATGAGCTGGTGGTGAATAACAGAGACCAAAGGTGAAAAGGAAAACAATGTTAACACTAGGAGTTTGCCAAAATGAGCTGGTGGTGAATAACAGAGACCAAAGGTGAAAAGGAAAACAATGTTAACACTAGGAGTTTGCCAAAATGAGCTGGTGGTGAATAACAGAGACCAAAGGTGAAAAGGAAAACAATGTTAACACTAGGAGTTTGCCAAAATGAGCTGGTGGTGAATAACAGAGACCAAAGGTGAAAAGGAAAACAATGTTAACACTAGGAGTTTGCCAAAATGAGCTGGTGGTGAATAACAGAGACCAAAGGTGAAAAGGAAAACAATGTTAACACTAGGAGTTTGCCAAAATGAGCTGGTGGTGAATAACAGAGACCAAAGGTGAAAAGGAAAACAATGTTAACACTAGGAGTTTGCCAAAATGAGCTGGTGGTGAATAACAGAGACCAAAGGTGAAAAGGAAAACAATGTTAACACTAGGAGTTTGCCAAAATATCAATACTACGATATATCACAATATTATCAATATACTGCCGGTGGATATCGATATTTAAACAATAAACATACGATCGTTCTAGATAGATCCTCTCACAAAACCCTGCCGCAACCCTTCAATCATCCACATGGTGGTGTCAGAGACCATTGCGCAAGAGATTGTGGGCGCGCGGAAATCAAAACAAACCGGGCTAAGCTAGCCAGCATTTAACGTCTCGCTTTATGTGGTGGAGCTCTGTTTGAACTGTAGTACTACGATTGTGATTCCATGAAAACTTTGACTGTTTTGCTAATTTTACATGAATGGCTGTCATTCAGGTGAAATTGATTGACAATATTATGTAATACATGTAAAATAGATATGATATATACACTGAAGTGACGCATCCTTGACTAACTTTATTGCAATGTGTTAATTATCACAAAATCACTGTATTGTGATATTCTCTTTATCGTCTGCAAAATATTGTGATAGTATCGTATCGTAAGGAACCTAGCCATACCCAGCCCTATTTAATATCTTTTGATATTGTTCCATTTGTACGGAGCCCCTAAAGGGACATGGGGGGAACGTATCTCGTGCTCACGAGATACTTTCTCGTGAGCACGAGAAAGTAACTTTTACGTAATCAGTAATTACGTGAAAGTTATCACGAAATACACGGGTCCCACTCATATCGCAGTCGTTGCGATAGGAGGGCACAACAACAGTGCCCTCCTGTGTCTAATTGAAGTATGCTACATGAATTAAATGCTCACCATATATACAGTACCTATGTCACACATAACATGCCGGTATCTTAGATTTCCCAACCGATTGTTTGTTATTTTAATGTATTACCATGTATGTATGAGCTCACGAGATACGTTTTAATTTTTTTTTCATGTCCCTTTAGGTGCTCCGATGAAGAGCTTTTCTCTGGCTTAAGAAACGGTTGGGAACAAGCATAAAAAAGTCTTTAATCGAGTACATGCCAATAATATGTACATGACTCAGTGTTTCACGTAGCTGTTCTGTTGCATTCTTTAGCCATAGGTAATTTCCTGGACATTGACCAGCTGCTCTCTGTTCTTGTCCAAGTCCCTAAGCAGGAAACAGTATGTCCATTTTATAAAATTAGACATGATTGTAGAGCATGGTGTCATCGCTGTGGAATTTGTAGTTCTTTGTGTGGCTTTAAAAAAGTATATTAACTTCTCAGTGCTGTCTGTGTTTGTGTGCAGGTCCAGGTTGCTGAAGCAAAGATCACTCATGTCATTCAGCTCAAACACACGTTGGATCTGGTGCCGAGGTTGAGGGTCTGTGTTCTGAAAATGGATATTATTATGGTGCAACCTGAGAAATCGGAACTCACATACGATATCTAAGAATCTTTGGTACTCACCAACGGAACCATAATGAAGGGCAAAAGGTTCCCAAAAAGCAACAAACCAAAAAAGTGATATGTAAACAAAGTCGTCTTCTACATATCTTCTCGACATTGTATATATATAAACATATAAACAGGGCGGCCCCTCCCTATGCACAGAACACACACTGGCCTTAGGCCCATTTGTGGAGGCGACCCCATTTTCAGTGATATGTGCAAATTGCATAATTGTTGCAGCTCACCGCTGCACAAAATTGTGTAATTGTTGGTTTTGGTGGATGGGGAGACACTTAAAATCCTTGCCTAAGGCCCAAGTTTGGGTAGAGACATATGTACCTAGAGCTGTTTACAATATTTACACAGAAGATTCCACCTTTCAGTTTGGTAGGTTTACTTTCAAGAATATGAAATATGTGGGCAAATGTTTTGACCACAATGGG